TAAATGAATTAAGCTTAAACTGAAGGGTCCGTGGTGATAAACATGAGCAGGGTTTATTTGTCACAGTCATTCTCTCCACTAGAATTTTCACCTCATTGTCAGATATGTTTGCTCTATTCACTGGTGGAAGCCAAATGCCTAGAATATTACCTGGCCCATAAGAGTGCTGCAGTAATTGTTGAATTAATGAAAAAAATTAGTTGAACATAACAGGGAAAATTTCCTCTTGACCCTGTAGTGGGAAGGGTGTTACTACTCCCAGCTAGCTCCACTTCCATTACAAAAGTGAATAAGTCAGTAAATATATGAACAAGGGGATTAATTTTTGTTCAATAAATTTTCAAACCTATACTTAGAGACATTGAAATATGGGATTTCTAAGTTTTGAAAAATAATAAGTAATAAAATGTTTAGAACAGTGTGTTTATAATCTGAAATATCCACATGCTATATGTAAGAAATCATGTATGTTTAATAAAAATAAACAATGCATCTTTAAGAATATATATAAATATTTGCTATTCTTTTACAAATTTCAACTGTAACATAACAGCTATTCTTCTGGAGAATCAGAGATATTGGTGTCATTTACAGTTGGATAGTACTTCCTTAAATCTTTACTTAATTTTTTCATACCTCTGTGTCTATGATGCCTGCCTTAAAACAAATATTTACTTAGGCTCATGCACAAATGCACATATAAATGTTTAATTTATGGAACATTAATATTTACTCAACATTTGTAAAGGTGAAAGATTTATATGACGTGAAGAGAAACTGGAGTATATTTTCTCAAGATTTGTAACTTTCTCTTACTACAATCATATTGCCCTTCTGCTTTCTCAATAAATTACTGGTTTTATTACACTCATATCAAGTCCATTTAGTACTGAGTTCCGGCAAAATTGCTGGCCCACTATATATCTATTAGATTCTTATTACAAGAACAATTCATTTATTTTTACAGTCTAAGCAATAGTTAGATCTGGAGTATTCAATACCTCTTTTTTCTGTTACTTTACTTCTTTTTACATTTTTAAAGTTCATATTGTCTACATGACTATATTTCCTGTATGTTGAAAAATGTGTCATTTACTTTTTATTTCCCTAGGTGTCTTCTACCATCCTGTGCACATTTCCATGAGGCATCTAAACTTTCTTCAGTCTTTTTTTATGGCTTTTCAGTCAGCCATTAGAGACCTGGAATAAACTCCCATGACTACAGAGTTATTACACTGTATGTCCTACACCACCTAGTGGCTTGTGTATTCTGGGAAAATGGCTTCAAGTGATGGAGGAGTAAGGGGAGGGGAAAGGGATAGAAACAAGAACTGAGATGTGTTACATGCAGTACAGCTCCACACCAGGAAGGTAAAGGTTACATATTGCAAACATATACCACCAAATGGGATTAAGAAACATATGGAGAGAGAAAGGGAAGGAAAACTGTACAAAAAGGGGAATCATGACGTGTTATGTACATGCACCAGGTCCTGAAAAGGAGCTCCCCATATTATGTGCTGCAGAAATGTATTAATAAAATATTTCCCAGAATACAACAATATCTGCAGTTGAGTCCAAAGAGAAACATTGCAGCAGTGAGCTTAATTATTAAAAATGCAAAAAATCTGTTATATAACATGTGCACAACTATTTGCCAAGGGAAATCTGTTTCTTCCCCCCTGGTTGCAAAGATACCTTGTAAATTATTTGAAATTGAAGTTCCAACTTATTTTAAGAAGACAGGGGCCTGATTATGGAGAAAACATGGCAGTATGTAAAAGCAATGTGCTGTGGTTCACTGCTGAGACCTGAGAGAGCCAGGTACACCACGTCAACTTCCTGGGAACAGTACAGCAGGTGACCTGGGATCCTACCACCATTATTGTCTGTGGCTGGGCCCTCTGCACACCCTCAGCTGCCTGGGAACACTGGCTCACAAGCCCCACAAACCGCTGACACTGTGGTTCATGTCTGTGCCCATCCTGTCTGTGCCCTGAGCCGCCTGGTGACACTGGGTCAGGCACTCCATGATCTGCTGAAACTGCAGTTCACATCTGGCTCTGCACATTCTCTGAGTTGCCAGGCAATCTGTGATAATGCTCTTAGTGCAGCTCATGTCTGGGTTCTGTGCATGCACTGAACTGCCTCTGGACACTAGATCAGGCAGGCTGCAGTCCACTGCTATCATGGTTTACGTCTCAGACCTGGGAGAACTGGGTACACTCTACCAACTGCCTGGTGACCTTGTACTGAGCAGCCCATCTCTGGGCCACTGAGGGTGACTTCTGACCATCAGGAACACAAGGGACACTAACAACCTTTGGTGAGCTACCAGGGAAGAGTGAAACGGGGCTTTCTGCCTCTGGCATCAACGTGACAAGAGAAAGGACCAAAATGAAATCTCCACCCCACTGAGTAAAAGTCCAGGAAACATCAACAAAGGAGAATTTGGTAATCAAACACCTGAAATCACTGAAATGATTGCAACAGAAGTAAAGAAACAATTCCATCAGGCCATAAAAGACATCAGATCCAAAAGAATCACACACATAAGAAATGCAATGACAACAGTAATGAAAGAATTGCTCATCTCATCTACAGAAGACATGTAAAAAAAGAGAGGAACATTAGAAACGTTAAATGAACAATATAGGGAAGAACTAGAATGCATGAAACAGATTGAAAGAGACATCCAGGGAATCAAAACTTCCATGAAAAACTGGCAAACACTTTGAATGAAGCCAAATATAGAGCTTCAGATCTTCAAGACGGCATTGCAACTAACGATCATGAAAGGAAGGATCTCTTAAAATTAACAAAGAACAAGGAAAAATCAATTCAACAGCTGCAAGATGAGGCAAAGAGAAATACTGTAAGACTAGTAGGTGTCAATGTAACTGTAGGAGAATGACAAAAAAGAATATTTGCAGAAGTAAAAGAAGAAAAGTTTTCAAGCATGTAAAAAGAATGTGACATACACATAAGTGAGACATATAGAACTCAAACTAGTCATTGCCAAAATTAAACTGCACCCAGACATATAATAATCAGAATATTAGGCTGGGGATATAGCTCAGTGGCATAAGTACCTGCCTGGCAAGCACAAGGTTCTGAGTTTGATTCCCAGTACAAAAAACAAAAATCAGAATATTAAAAATTGTTAGAGAAAAGAAACAGATCATCTATAAAGGAAGCCCATCAGAATCACAGTAGATTTCTCAAAACAAAAAATCCAATAGAGAAGAGCTTGGAGTGAAGTATTACAGAGAAAAGAGCTTCCAACCCACATTGATGTATCCTGCAAAGTATCCTTCAAATTTAATGGAGAAATAAAATATATCCACAACAAAGAACAACTGAAGAACTTCATGAGTGCCAAACCAATGGTACCAAGAGTTCTAAAAGATATTCTAGACAGAGATAAAAAGGACCACAATTTCAAGAACAACAACAGAAAGGAACTGTCAAGCAGAACAAGCAATTAAACAGAGAGAAGAAGTAGAAAACCAACAAAGAGTAAATAACATGACAAAGATAAGCCAACACATATCAGTTATAACCATTAATGGAAATGGCCTCAATTCACAATCAAAAGAAACAGATTGGCAGAATGGATCAAGAAATGAAATCCAACAATATACTGCATAAAAGAAACTCATTTTAGTCAGGAGGAAATCCATAGACTGAAAGTCAAAGGTTGGGAAATAATTCTCTATGAAACAGGAAACCAGAAAAAAGCAGGGGTAGTCATTCTATTTGCAGACAATGGGAACTTCAAGCCAAGATCAATCAAAAGAGATAAAGAAGGTCACTACATATTTGTTAAGGGAAAACTGCAAGAGGAAGCAATAACAATCATAAACATGTATGCATCAAATGTAGGAGCATCAAATTCCATAAGACAAATCTTAATAGACACAGAAACAAAATGACTCACAACACTATTATACTAAGGGACTTAAATACCCCATTGACACAAAGAGATAGGTCAACTATGCAAAACGTCAGCAAAGAAACAACAGATCTGAACCAAATCTGCAAATAGATCCTTAGCAGATGTATACAGAGTGTTTCACCCCACAATATCAGAATATACAGTCTTCTCAGTTGCACATGCCACATTCTCTAAAATAGACCACATTCTATGCCATAGAACATACTTAAATAAATGCAAAGAATTGAAGTTATCCGATGCATATTATCTGACCACAGTGCAATGAAATTGGAAATTAATGACCACAAAAACTGCAAAAGCTCCATAAACACTTGGAAATTAAGAAGCAACCTCCTGAAAAACCAATGGGTCACAGAAGAAACTGAGGAAAAAATTTAAAAATACCTACAAACAAATGAAAAGGAAAATACAACTTACTGAAATCTGTGGGATGCCTGAAACAGCCCTCAGAAGGAAAGTTATAGGGGTGAACTCACACATCAGGAAAAGAGAAAGAGAACAAATAAATTGCCTAGTGCTGCACCTCAAACTTTTAGAAAATGAAGAACAAGTCAAACCCAAAGTCCAAAGAAAGAAGGAAATTATAAAGGTCAGGGAAGAAATTAATGCAATTGATATGAAGAAAACACTACAAAAAATAAGTGCATTAAAGAGTTGGTCCTTTGAAAGAATAAATAAAATTGATAAAGCCCTAGCCAAACTTATCAAAGAAAGAAAAGAAAATACTCAAATTCATTCACTAAGGAATGAAAAGGATGAAATCACTATTGGTTGTATAGAAATTCAAAGGATCCTCAATACCTACTTTGAAAATCAGTGGAACAGACTGGAAGAAGTAGTCACAACCTCAAACACACTCAACCACCTGATCTTTGACAAAGGGGCCAAACAAGTTCACTGGAAGAAAGATAGCCTTTTCAGTAAATGGTGCTAAAAAAACTGGCTTGACACATGCCAAAGACTGAAAATAGACCCACGTTTATCACCATGCACCAAACTCAAGTCAAAATGGATTACAGATCTCAATATTAAACCACAAACAGTCAATATATTGGAAGATAAAGTAGGTAAAAACCTTGAAGACATAGGGGTAGGCAGAGAGTTCATGAACATAAACCAAACTGCATGGGAAATACTTTAAAGAATCAGTAACTGGGATGTCATTTTATCAAAAAGTTTTTGCACATCTAAAGAAATCACCAGCAAAGTAAAAAGAAAACCAATAAACTGGGAAAGAAATTTAGCTGACTTTCTCTCAACCAAAAGAATTCTATCTAGAACACATACGGAATTAAAAAATATTAGCCCCCAAAATTCAAAGATCCAATCCCTAAATAGGCATCTGAGATAAATACACACTTCTCAGATAAAGAAACACAAGTGGCAAATAAATACATGAGAAAATGTTCAACATCATTAGTTACTTGAGAAATGTAAATTAAAGCAACACTGAGATTCCATCTCACCCCAGTAACAATGGTTAGCATTAAGAAATCAACCAATAACAAATGCTGGAGAGACTGTGGAGAAAAAGAAACACTTCTCCACTGCTGGTGGGAGTGTAGACTAATGAAACCACTGTGGAAATCAGTTTGGAGATTCCTCAGTAAGCTAGGACTAGAGGTCCCATTTAACCTAGCTATTTCCCTTTTGGGTATTTTCCCAGGAGACTTAAAACACCATATCACAGAGATATATATGCACCCATGTTCATAGCAGTACAATTTGTAATTGCTAAACCTTGCAATCAATCCAAATGTCTACCAACTGAGGAATGGATAAAGAAGTTGTGGTATTTTTATATAATGGAACATTACTCACCTATAAAGAAAGATAAACTAGAGACTTATATAGGTAAATGGTCACAGCTAAGGACCATATTCATAAGTGAAATAAACCAGACATGCATGTGTAAATAATATACTGTCTCACTAGTGAAAGAACCTGAGAGGGTGAATAAAAATTAGGAGGTATGATAGACATTGCAAAACAAAAAGAAAATGCTCAAAAGAAAAGAGCAACTGGAGTGAGGGAAAAGAGTAAAGAAAGAAGGGGAAATTATGTATACATGTATACATAGGATAGTTAACATAGTTGTACTACTGACTTCCATTGCTTTATTGAAAGGAACAGTTAATGTTTAATTGTTTGATCAATATTGCTTGTCTATATTTGTTTACCTGAGTAACCACTTTGAAGATATCAATATGTAATACAACAACCATTGTTTATTTCCTATCTCTTTGTCTGAAATTCTATGTGGCTTGTATTATTTTCATGTTATTTTTAAAATGTATGTGTTTGTCAATACGTTTTTGTTCTTTTATCTTTAAAATAAAACTGCAATGTATTATATTTAAGTACAATTTTTAAGCCAATTGTACACCACCCCTAAGATAGAGATCCATTTTTACATCTATTATACCACAGTCATATAAACTATTTTGAAGCAAATGTTTGAATTTTGCTTCTCATTAAATTGCAATGTACCTGAAAGAATTACCATTAACTCATTTTGTGAATCAGCTAGTCACACTGCAGTAAGTTGGATACTCGAATTTTTATCACAGGGCCATCTCCCCTTTGTGATTCCCGACAGTGTCTTCCCCAGACCCTTCTACTTCTCGTGTCACAGGAGAGTGAGAACCACTCCCACCAAGCACTGCACAGCGAAGGGAGACCTTGGGAAATCAGGGACTCTGTGAATGTGTAAATGTAGCTGAAGCCAATGAATTAAATGATTCATCTTCAAATATGAAGATAGGCATGATTTATACCTCATTTGCTTTGTCTTTAGAGGTGCACAAATAGATACACTTATGAAAGAGATAAAAATCAATGTGTAATCTACTCATTTCCTTTGTATTTCAACAGTCATTTTAAAAGTTTTGACTTTATTGTTTGAAATTTCTTACAATTGTACAATGATTTAAAAACCGGAAATTTTCCTGTATACCTGAGGCCCTACTTTCTCTTTCTCTTCTGTAATGTTATGTTTTACCAAAATGCTTCTTAGAGGAAAAGTTCCCAGATGTTGAATGGCATCATTTCCCTGGGGCACTTGCTACAAGGTACAGCTGAAATGAAGAATCTGGTATTTCAAGCTAAATAGAGAATCTGGGAAAGAACTGTATATATATTTCGGCTAAAATAACTAAATAACTAAATAAATTTCAGTTAAAATAACTAAGCTTCAACTTATAACAGATAAGTTAGGACATGGACAATGATGCCTACTAAGTGAAATGTAATTTTAGTTCTAAAAGTTTTCATAGTTTCATGCCAGTCATACTCTTAAATCAGTCCATGTGTTTACTCCTGAATACTTATAGATCCCATTGAAAAACAATCAATACTTCCTTAAATGATTCATTAAATATGCAGTAAGGTAATTTATCAGACTTCAAAACATTTACTCAGTGAGAACAGTCTCATTAAAAGCAACATAACTTAATTGTAATCAAAACCTGGGCAAATTAAAAAGAATTTTTTAATATTTGAAGCATGTGGAAGTTGTGCACAGCCCTGGACAGAGCTTAAATAGACACTTCTAAAATTTTTTACAAAAAGTTAATCAGATTGCACAATGAGAAATAAAAGGATCCCCAAAGCAGTTGTATAGCAGTTTTAATCATGGCAGTTCCAAATTAAGTGCAGTACAGATGATCTTCAACAAAATAATGGAAATATAACAAATAGAAATATATTAAGACATGGTATGTTGCAAAACAACAAAAGAGTGCAAGCTGCTGGCAAGTGGGTCAATGTAGGGAACACTCTAAACTCGCAATGCTTACAGAGGGTAAGTCAGATCTGAGAGTGGTCTGCTGCTGTTTTCCACTGATACAAAGCTTTAGAACAGCCAAACTGAAAGACTGGGATGAAAAGCATACCAGGGCCTGTGGGCTGGGTGCGGGTTTTCACTGGCGAATGAGTGGAAGTGAGGTCTCTGAGAAAGTGTGTCCCTGAGAAGAAGCCTGGTGACACCGGTGGAAGAAGAGACTCACATACGACCATTCACCTTTGCGCCAATTATACCTTGATTTGTACCTAATAACACCAGTTAATCCTCTAATATTTCATTATTAACTGAAAGATATTGTGGAGCATAACATAAATTTACCCTAAATGTTACTGATGCACACTTTTACCAAACAAAGTGGACTTGGTAGTGAAAGTAAAGTTAATAAATCCACACTATGTAGAGTCACCCAAATTGTAATGAAAAGAGCAGCAAAAAGATGACTGTTTAATGTCTTCAATGTGGGAAATCCCCAACACATGCTTGAAGAAGCATTTAATGTTGGAAAACTAAATAGACTTTCACTCACTTAAGTTAACACACTGCCTCATACACTTCCTCAGGGCTCCTTTGACCTCACTGTTCCTCAAACTGTAGATCATGGGGTTCACCATTGGGGAAAAAATAGTATAGAAGGCTGACACGACCTTATCATGGCTGGCTGACCTGTAGGATGTGGGTCTCATGTAGATAAAGATGGCAGCCCCATAAAAGAGACCCACGACTGCCACATGGGAGGAGCAGGTGGCAAAGGCCTTCTTGCGGGCCTCTGTGGAGCGCATGTGCAGGACAGCAGACAGGATGAGGCTGTAGGAAGTCAGGATGAGGAACACAGGTATCAGTAGCATCAGGATGCAGCAGATGTACATGAAATATTCAAAGGCAGAGGTGTCAGAGCAGGCCAAACGCACCAGGGTGGGGGCCTCACAGAAGAAATGATCAACTTCATGTCTGCTGCAGAATGGGAAGCTGAGGGTAACAGCAGCCTGCATGATCCCATCAGCTGCCCCCAGGAACCAGGACCCCAAAGCCATTCTCAGACACAGCCGCCAGCTCATGAGGGTGGCATAGCGCAGCGGGTGGCACACAGCCACATAGCGGTCGTAGGACATGGCTGCTAAGAGGAAGCACTCTGCTCCTCCAGTTGTCTGAAAGAAGGTAATCTGCATCCCACAGCCCACTGGAGAGATGGACTTCCTTCCAGTCAGGTAGGCAGCCGCCATCTTGGGCACAATGGTGCAGACCAGCATGAGGTCCATGAGGGAGAGCTGGCTCAGCAGGAAGTACATGGGCGTGTGCAGCCGGGGGTCCTGCTGGATCAGGAGGACCATGAGGGCATTGCCAAGGAGGGAGGAGATCATCACTGCAAGAGTAATGCCAAAGAGGATTTGGTGGGCTGTGGTGTGGTCGAAGAGTCCTAGGAGAATGAAATCTGAGGTGGTGTTCCCATGCTCCATGATTTCAAGCAGAGGTGCTGCTCTCAGTGGGAAGGAGATGAGAGAGCTCCGTCCTAAATGCTGCATGTGAAGTAAACAGCGTGAAAACACTTGTGTGAAAAGGATGAAACCTATGTCACATTCTTCATCTGACAATTTCAAAATTCTTTTAAATGTATATACATTGAAATCAAACTGTTTCCTTATTTGCAATGTTTTTATTATGAACACATCACAGTTTGATTATTGCTTAATGGGTTTAAACATCTATATTCTGATAATTTGAGATATATAATTTTTCATTACCTGGCTTTCATACAAATGGATGAGTTGGAAAAAATTTGCATAATTGCTTCTCAGCGTTCATTGTAAGTAGACTTCAAAAGAGAATCAAATCAATAGTTTAGCTAAGTCATTGCTATGTACTTATAATAAAGTTTACACATCTGTAACATATTCAAATTTTTCACCTGCCAAAATCAATTTATCTTCCCTGACATTGATTAACCCCGCAAGAGCTTTTTACTTTCCAAAGAAGAGGATTGATTCTTTTCAGACATACACACTGGAAGGACAGTGTATGAGGGACTTGCGTGTGCTGGGACTCAGTGCCTAACATCCGCAGCCTTAAGGAGCAAATGGTCCATTGTCTCACATTTCAGAGGTTTGATCATTGCTGGCTCCACAGCTGGAACGTCAAGCTGGACTGTGGGGCTAAGAGAAGCTGCTTAGTTCACGGTGCCTGACAGCAGAGTTAGGGAGCAACTCCAGACAGGAAGAGAAGACAAGGTTTGCTCCTGTCCAAGGTTTGTCCCCCTACCGCAGCACCACACAGAGCAGTGGGCTTTTCAACCCCGGAGCAGGTTTCAGTCCTACCATGGGAACAATGCACCCTGACCCACAGAGTGTGCACATAGAAGCAGTACTATGTTGGAATAGAGTACTGCACTTAGTACTACTACAGAGAGTTATATACTGAAAATGACCTTGCTTTTTTCTGCAATTTATAATCATAATATCAATAGACCCTTTTTTAATCATTAAAAAATATTTTGCTCTAATCCATTGTTCTTCTCGGTTGCACAAATGCTGAGCTTACCAGAGAGATGGAAGATCTTAGCTCTTTATCGACCTTTAAAACGTTTCAAACTTCAAACTACTGAAAGCGCATCAGTGGTTTAGTAACTGGTGTTCAGATTGTTTCTGATATTTGCTTTGCACACTACTAAAATGGAATATATTTTAATATAGTCTGAAGAGGTGTATGCACTTTTCAGTACAACTGTCACTGGTGTCCATCTCTGAATCTCCATCTCTCCAGACTGAACTTTTACATGAACTGAGATGAAAATCCCCCCAAGCTTTGAGAAAACATCGCTCTTGTCCATGTACATTTGATTGTGCCAGAAAACTCATGTGTGGAAGGGACTTGAATCTGTGTGTGAGTGTGTGCACACACGTGCATGGGTGTGCGTTTCTTCTTATTTGCATGGATCATCCTCAGAGTTCATCAGTGCTCTCTCATGCATCTGAATTCCCTTCTTGTGCTCTGTAGCTCTCCCTTTTAGGGACACTCTTGGTTTATTTGTTCATCCTCTGTGACCTCTGCACTGCTTCCACTTGCTGAATCCCTCTGCATGACCAAGGGGAGGGGTGACGGATGTCAGAGCTCCACCTTGATGAGATTTTAAGACATCAGAGAAAATACAGCATCTTAGCGGCTTTTGCTCAAGTCACACAAGAAAGGTTTGTGTGTTTTTAGGGAAGAAACTGAGCTATCACCAGGATTATCAGCTAAGAAGTGAATGTTCTTGTGATGTAGCTGCTTCTTCCTGCATTTTAGTAATTTTTAAATTTGAATTCGTTAGCCAGAATTTCTCCATTGAGCTGGGTGGTTATTGTACAGTTTTTATGGTAAAATAAATTTGCAAGTGTGATTATATACTGAATTAATTTTTCATTCAGAATAGAATAGTATTTAGTAATAAAAATAATGTAAACATGCCTGAATAAAACTGTGTTAGAAGTTGATGTCAATGTTCATTTGTTTTGAAAAATAAAATCAAACTTACTCCCTATACATTCATAATGTAAGGTATTTTAGATTAGTGAAAATGGTTTAAGTTTACATAAAATTTCTTTTCCACATTATTCTCTAAAAATTACCGTAATATACAGTATAGTGAAGATTGCAGAGGAAGAATTACTTCACCTTTAAGTACAGTAGTAAATGTCATTATAAGAGTGGTACAATCTCAAAATTAGTGAATTATTAGAAAAAACTTCTTGCCCTATAATGTAGACATTTTCTTGTCTTTTTCTTCTATGTCCTCAAAATGAAGTGAGTTTTCTAAGTACCTTTTATTCTGCTTCAAAAACTGTTACTAGTCATGGTGAAAAAATTTAGCATGTCTCCTCTAAATCACAGTCATGTCTCTGGCAGTGTGTGAGGAGGTGTGAACAGTTCCTTTCCTCCTCACGAAAAGTGTTCCCATTACCAGTGACCCTGGAGAAATGCCTGTAAATTCTTTTCAACATCATTCCAAACTCATGCCCCAAATTTGAAATCAAAACTGTCCATTTGTTACCCAAGATACTCATCTGAATAATCAATATGCTCTACAAATACTAGCATAGTACCAAGCAAAGCATTTACACAATGGGCAGGAGATGTGAAGATTCTTCCTGATGGGAGCATCCTCTGTCACAAATTCAGTTCTTCAGAGAGTGAGACACTGAACAGAGGATTTTCTGCATAAAATATGTGAAGTAGGCGGCTGTCTGAGTTGAATATCTACAAGGAAATCCCTGATTCTCTTACTTACGTAGAGCAAGAGCAGTGACCAGCAGCCTTGTCTCATGTGGTGTGTCTGTGCAGGAAGCCTCTGCTCCAGCTGTGGCCACCCTACTGTACCAGTGCCTTGTGTGACTGAATCTGGCTCTGGCCCCCACCAGCCTCCAGTCCAACATGCTCTCATTAACCACCGTGAACCCCAGAGATTCGACACTGTGGGCCCCAGAGATGTTCCACGTCAGAGATATTTTCCTGACTCAGAGGATATTGCTACACTTCGTATATGCTGCAGGAAGCTGTGATAGACCAAAATAATAAAAAAATCATTTAGAAGCAATGTAAAAGGCAAGTAAATGTTCTTGCATGAGATATGATCTCAAAAGTAGACTAATGAGCAAAGGAACTATTCCAAAAACAAATATGTCAACATTTGTGACATGTTTCCCCATCCTATTCACCCCTGCCTGGAGCACAGGTGCATTAATGTCCTGACCCAGACTTCCCCTTGAGGTAGGCCCACTCAAAGGGCATGGTTCTGGGAAGGATGAACGTGATGGAGGGAAACACACCCAGTGCTGAGGACCGTTACTCTTCATCCAAGAATTTCATACCACTCACATTCTGGGAAAACAGTGCCTTCCACAACCCATTCTCAGATGTGCATCGGAATCTGCCCAGCAATGAACAGTTCAGAGCAGATTCTGCCAGTCAGGATTACTCTGTAGGGTTCCACCATTTCAGAGCACTCTATGTCCTGTTCAAATTGAAATAAACTCATTTTTCAGTTTTCAGTTGAGCACTCTAGCTGATCATACCAGATTCCAAATTCTGTTTGCATCAATTGCTAGAAAAAAATTGTAAGGGAAAGAAGGCAGTCCTGGAGGAAGTCAGAATGTAATCTTAGAAGTACAGACTAGGAAGTTTTTAATATCGTAATGTAAGCAAGAAGGAGAATGTTTTTCACTGATTTTATTTATTGCAGTGAATGCATATGTGGATGAATTTAACTTCCATCTACTGTACTGTTTGCTCACTTTGAATGGATTGGGAGTGTTTTTGTCTTCCAAGATGTACTAAGTGCTTAGTAAGTACTTGGAAAGTCGTGTTCTGTACCTACACAAATATTTCTTTTTCTTCAATTTTGAGCATCACCTGAGTGAGATGATACAACATTTTCACAAAGAAGAAATTACTGCCCTATTCTATATTATGACATTATCATAAAACTAGCTGTGATGAAAAATTTTTACTTCATTAGAGTAGGAATAAATAAGTCCCACTCTTCGGCATTTTGGAATCCAACGTGAATTTGTTGGCACCAAAGCAAACACTCAATGTTCATAGTCGTGTTCCTGTCCTCTGTTCAAAAGTAGAATTTCTGGTCTGGCACACCACTGTCCCCAAGAAGGACATGATGGTTTTCATTCTTCTGGGAAGATATCTGGCATGGGGACAGCTGGATCAAATGGGACCTCCAATGCTATATTTTGAGGAAACTCCACACTGAGTTCAACAGTTGTTGCACCAGTCTACGCTACCACCAACAGTGGAGAACTGTTCCTTTTTCCCCACATCCCCTCCAGCATTTGATATTGGTTGATTTCTTGAAAATAACCATTCTTTCTGGGGTGAGATGGAGTCTCGGTATTGTTTTAACTTGCATCTCTTGAATGCCCAGTGATGTTGAACTTTTTTATAAATTTGTTTGCTGTTTTTAATTCTCCAGCTGAGACGTGTGTATTCATCTAGATGCCCACTTTTGTATTTGGTCTTTTCCTTTCAAGCGTCTGATTTTTTTTGTTTTTTAGTCCTTTATATTCCTTTCTCTAAGGAACTGCTGGAAACATTTTTTTCCACAGTCCAGGTTATATCTTCACTCTATTGGTGGTTTCTCTTGCTGTGCAAAAGTTTTGTAATCAAATGAGATCCCACTTGTTGATTCTTTGTGATAGTTCCTGTGTCGTCGAGGTTTTAGTCATAAAGTCTTTGTCTACACCAATGTATTCAAGAGTTTTACCTATTCCAATTTCCAACAGATTTAATGTTTCTGTTTTAATATTTAGATCTTTGATCCACTTTGAATTTAGCTTAATTCATGGTGAAAGATATGTGTCCAATTTTAATCTTTAGCATCTGCAGAGCCAGGTTTTCTAGCAAAATTTATTATTGAGGTTATCGTTCTTCCAGTGAATGTGTTTGGCACCATTGTCAAAGATAACATGGCTGA